GGGCTGGCTGGCATGTGGTGCTGGGGGATTGAACCGCGGTCCCTGTGCTCTGTGAAGCTTGTTCCAAGTAGGTGCTTTAGACCACTGAGCCATCTCTCCAGCCCCTAAAGTTTCATTTTACATCTAAACTCCTAATATTCTAGGATGAGTCAGAAAATCTGACTGCTGTCATATGTTTTGCAGGAAGGATTTCACTATTAGCATTATTTATAGGTAATATCTAAGTAATTGGATTTTTATACTGTGGTAAGATATGCATTATATAAAATCAACCATTCTGACCATGGTCAGTGTGTGGTTCAGTGGCATTAAGCACATTCATGTTGTTATGCAACCTTCACCACCACAAATCTCCAGGGATTTGCCTCTTCCCAAACTTGGGGGAATGTGCCCATTCAGCCCAAACTGCCCATCTCACTGTGCACCTTGGAGTCGTATTGATCCTCCTGTTTTCAGCCTCCCTAGGGCTAGGACTACAGGTGACTGGCTCAGCGTGCTCTGGTGTGGGGCCAGAGTTGGCATAGCATGTAGAGTCCAAACCCCGGTCGCTGTGTTTGACAGACTTAGTCTGCTGATCTGTCTCACCAGCCCTTGTTCAGCTCTCTGTGAATATGCTTACTCTGACAACCAAAGAATGGGATCATATATTAGGTCCCCCCACTTTTGAGGGGGGTATGAGGGATTGAACTCAGGACGTTGCATTTGCCAGGCAGGCACTTAGGCCGCCAAGTTCTCTCCCTGGCCATTTGTCCTTTTATACCTTATTTATTGCACTTTGCATAATGTTTCCAAAATTGTCCATAGTGTGGCATATGTTGGAATCGCCTTTTTTAAAGCCAAATCATGTTCCTCTTTGTGTGTTTGTGTGTCTACATGCACTTTATCCTAAGTATTTGTATTTTTTTAATGTACTAATGCATTAGTGTTTTGGAAGTAACTATTACATGTTAGGTACTTTATTAAATTTTAGTGTCATTGGTGTCCCATCTTTCTCAAGGCCGGAAGTAGTGGTTCCTATACATATAACTAGATGTTTCCTTTCATTGAAAACTAAAGATTAGTAACTATTTGCCTACAAGGTTGTAAAAACATATTTCCTGAAATGCATTTGTATAGCTGCCATCTCTTATATAAATACTCCAGGAAGCTGAGCATCGTATAGCAAGCCAGTAATCTCAGTACTCAGGAGCTGAGGCAGGAGTGTCATGTGACTTTGCGGCTAGCCTGAACTGCATAGTGAACTACAAGTTTTGACGTAATGAATGACAATATCTGCCCTGCCTCTGCGAAACCAAAAAAAAAAAAAAAAAAAAAATCACTTTGGGTTTCAGATCGGCTGCTCTTAGTTTGGCAACAGACCTGCATTTTGCTGTACATGGAGAGCAGTAGCTTTCCTGCTTATATTTTTGTTTTCTCTGCCTTTAGCACTGTGCTGATCACATAACAGATACTCAACAGATAAAAATTAGATTATATTTGTGAAATTGTAAACTCTTGGAGACGCATCTTGTACTCTACAGGATTATAGTTTTATTTTACCTTTTGTTCTTTGATCTTGATTGCAAAACCTGGCAATAGAAAATTAAATCACAGCTCCACATTGCTTAATAAGTTAATATTAAATTAAAAAATTGTAAATCTTTAGTGGGAATGGATGAGTTATTGTAGTACACGTTCGATACCACTGTCATAGTCCTACAAAGCAGTGGCTTTTATCCTTGAAGGGATGGAGCCAGTGCTGGAGCACAGCCTTCTGAGCATGTAGCCCCTCCCATTTGTTTGTATGTCACAACTTTTAAGTTTTTATTTTAAGTGCACAGGCAGCAGAGATGACTCTTAAAAGAAAGGTGAGACAAAAACCTGAGATACACTTCTGGTTGTAGTACAAACAGAATGGATTTTGGGAAAGACAGGCATGGGAAATTTAGCCAGGGGTCCTCATTGACCTTGTGACCTGCTGATGGCATGTCCCCAGACTAGCCCTCAGTGTTGTAATTGATGGGGGGTGGTTTACTGCCTTGGTTGACTGCTTGTTTTAGTCAGCTCAGCAAAACACTATTAGTCTTCAGGACATATGAATGACGAAAGCTTTAATAGTTGGCCACTACTTCCCCCAGCATGGATATCTTTTGATTTGGTAGAACCATAGAATAGTAGAATTGCACAGAACATTAGAAGTCTTTCTAGGACAGCTGTCTGATTTTTCCAGATGAAACCAGAGCTTAGAAAGGTGGTCCCGTATCAAAGGTTCCGTAGCTAATTGGTTGCAGTATGTGAACTTGGAACCTCTGGGCTTTCTGGATATTGCCAGGTCCAGTGTCTTTCTACTGCATGTTTCCTGACTTTGGCAGAAGTGGCGCTCTGCTTTCCCCGACCTCTTCTTTTTTCTTTCTGTAGTAAATAGCTTTTGAGGGTTCTCTGTTAAGCTGCCTGCTGAGGTTTATTACTTTGGGGGTGGAGGCTAATACATTTTTAATGAGGAAAAAAGGAGAGATTGTGGTTGGATTCCTAATTTATAATTTAGTAACTGTGCTTTATGGTTTCAGAAAATCTTTTAAGAGGTTTATATTGCATTTGAGTTTATAAAACTACTTTAAATTATACACAGATCTGGCAGATCTGAACCTTATCTTTGTTCCTATGCGGCCTTCAACAAGTGGCCTTCATGTCTGGCAAGCACAAGGGCCTGAGTTCAATCCCCGGTTCCGCCAAAAAGAAAACAAGTGGCCTTCATTCACTCATGTATTTTGGGGTTTTTGAGACAAAGTCTCGCTATGTAGTTCAGGCTGGCCTTAAACTAATGGTGGTCTTCCTCCTTCTGCCCCACAAGTGCTGGGATTGATTATAGGCATGTGCCACCAGGCCCACTATGTGATGCCTTTTAAAAGATGGTTTGGGGCCAGGGAGATAATTCAGTGGCATAAGTGCCTGCCTAACAAGCCCAAGGACCTGAGTTCAATCCCCAGTTCTGCAAAAAAAAAAAGTAATGTAGAATCGTTTTTTGCCTATCTATTTAACATTCATTCATTTATTCATTTATTCATTTATTTATTTTGGTGGAACCAGGGATTGAATTCAGGCCCTTGCGCTTGCCAGGGAATCGCTTATTCCACTGAGCCATCTCCCTGGCCCCTATTTAACATTTATTCATGTAGAGTTAGGTTAAAGAGTCTAAATTAAATCAGATATTAATGTATAATTAAAGTGAGAAGTCATTAAGGCTGATACAGGTCCGTATTCCTTATTTGTGTAAAGTAACATTTCCTGAAAGCATAATCTAATTTTCTAAATGAGATTATTTTCTACGGTTTGCAGAGGTGATGTTTCCCTGTTGTACCTCTGTGAGTAGTTGCCAGTACCAGGACCTCAGTGTCCCCTTTGCCCTAGGGAGTTAAGCTGCCTTACTTGTGCCTAGACTCCCAGCTGCCACCTGCATCATGTCCTGAGTTCTGGCTGCTCATTGCTATTGCATCTCTAGTCCACTCAGGCACTGTCATTCCTGGGTCACTGTTTGGAGCAGGTCTTCTAGCTTGGTCCTGCATCCTTTCTCTTGGTGGTTACTTCTTCCTCCTCTAGCAGCCAGTGACCCTTTGAAGAAGTGAGTCACTTCCTCTTCATCTCTGCAGGCCTCTTGTTGGAGACTCTTTCAGCTAACTGTGATGTCCCCTTACTCTGGAAGGCAGCAGAGCACACACAAGTACAGGCACAGACATTCTTCTCGTTGCCTTCCCGTTTTCTCCTGGGCACTGACTTTCCTCTGACATCCTTACTACATATGTATTCGTTGTCTGTCTCCTTTCCTACAACTCTGGGAACATCCTTTGCTGTGCTCACTGCTGCATTTATCCAGAGCCCAGATCAGTGCATGGCAGTTAGTAGGCGCTCAATAAATATTTGTTGAATTACTGAATCACTATAATCAGGAATGCTTTGTGATCATGATCTGCAGGGAAAACATCCTCTTTTAATACGGCTTAATCCATTTTAAGTTTGTACTTTTCATTGCTCAGTTTTTGTTAAAGCATATTTAAAAATCCTACTCCTTAAAATGAAATTTGTGTAAGTTAAACATATGAGAATTTAATTTTAAGGCTTTTCTCCAGCTTAAAGATTTTATTGGTGAACTTTAATGCCTTCTTCTCAAATACAGCTTAACTTTAGCTTAATTTAAACTCCACATATTTCTAGCTAACTTCATACCTGTACTTAAAAATAAAAGTAACATTGGGAAAAGTGAAATACAATCAATTTATGGGAAAGTTAATGCTCAGTAGGACTTCTGCTTATTTTTATTTCTTATCAATTATAGGTGAAGTATTTGACTATTTGGTTGCACATGGAAGAATGAAGGAAAAAGAAGCAAGAGCTAAATTTAGACAGGTATGAATTAACATGTCTTTAGTTTGTCAACTTAACAGTTCTCTTGCTAAACCCTAGTGCAAACAGTTGTTTGCCTCTGCAGATGCTCCAGAGGCCCAGGATGAGCAGAGTCTGGCCATTCAGCTCTACAAAGATTGTTAAGTACCTTTTTATGCTTGAGGCCCTGTGGGTCCTTGGAGCTTCTTATTCTCACTCTTAACCTGGATTTTTGACATGTCAACCTCAACAGCCTAAAGCTTTTCAGAGATACCCAGTAATCACATTAAACCCATTTCAGAGTTTTTAGCAAGAGTATTACAATCCCACAATTTAGTATTTGTTTTGTCTTTCATAAGGCAAGACCAGTATAACTTCATCTGTCAGTTACTTGCCTTGTCTTCTCGTACTCCACTCTTCAAGAAGTATTCGTTTTATTAACCACTAGGAAGGATGTATACAATGTGTTAATTATTGAAACTGTCCTACCAGTTTGGTTTGAAACTGTCTCATTGCTATTTGTTTCTCAATAAATTTATGGGAAAAAAAAGTATTCACTTTAATAAAGTGGTTTTAAATGTAAAGGTGACTTAATTCTTAATTAACGGCTGTTATTATAGGTGGATTGACTATGCCTGCCAGACACTGGGATAAGTGATTTATATAACTTGTGCAGCAGACTTAGGAAAAGCTATGCCCATTTGTTAAATATAAGAAACCGAGACGTGGAAGATTAAATAACTGATCCAAATTTGGTAACTGTGAAGTAGCAGATCAGCCATTGAGTCAGACACAGGCACTCTAACTCCAAAACTCAGTCTTACTCTTGGGGTTGTACTGTTGTTCAGAGGAGATTCTGAAAGGGCTGGATATACCTGCAATGGACCATCCTGTCTCCATTGTAGACTGTCACTTTAGCTCTGTAGCAGAAAAAAAACCCAAAAAAACCCTGGGTAGGCCCCATTTAGTACAAAGGGAGTAATTTGCCAACCCCTGTAAGACAAAGAGCAAAGATGTGTTGCCCCTTTTAAATTAACTCTGGACTGGGAAATAGAGCCTACTGCTCTGTTTAGCATGTGTAAGGCTCTGTGCCCAATCCCCAGCACCAGAAATAAATAAATGAGCGATTGCATACGTGTTCTGTACTGTCACTATTATAAGTTCTATATTTAAATGGCAATATGGTGTCATTTCTTTCGGAGCCTTTTTCTGCCACATGTCTGCCTCCTCCCAGTGCTGCTTTGCACCCCAGACCCCACTGCAGCTCTCTCAGAGCCAGTTTGTTTTATTCACATAGAAAGTTGTCAGGATTCACAGAAAATTTAAAGTATTATGTATGAAAGGGTGATTTTTCAAGTTTTTTCTCTCAACAGTACAGCATTATCACCATCGTCATTATTAGGGTTTTGTCTTGTTTTTGAGATAAAGTCTTGTTCTGTAGTTCAAGCTGGCCATGAACTCCAGTGATTCTCCTACCTCACAGGAATGTATTGAGATTACAGACTTGTGCCAACACACAGTTTTGTTACACTAATTTAGAAGCTTAAGAAATACTGATACAGGGGAAAGAAACTCCCAACCTGGAGGATGTTCAGTATGAGCTTATGTTCTCTAAAATCGAAGAATGAATTGTAGGACCAACAAGAAGCTTCTGTCTGAGAGTGGGTTTCCAAGTACCTGGTCCTTTCTAGGGTTTTTTTTATGGTGCAAAACCATAAGATGAGGTGGGACCAAGATGGGGAAACATGGGAAGTCACAAAGTGGGACAAAGCTATGATCAACCAATAAGATTATGAGCATAATTGCTCAGGTGATACTGATTAAATGGGGATTAAATTGCAAGAGCAATTGAAATGTAACATTTTTCTCTCATGTTTCTCCCCTCATGTATGTATGTATGTATGTATGTATGTATGTATTTTTATGTATTTAGTGCATGGTCTCACTATACAGATCAGACTCATGGTGATCCTCCTGTTTTCAGCCTCCCAAGCACTGGGATTACAGGCATGTACCACCACACCCAGTCTACTCCCCTCTTTTAGTTTCCAAGGCAAATCTTTGCTGGGCATGTTGTATGTGATCCTCTGTGACAAGGCCCAACTAAGCATAAGTTAGGCCTGTTTGTTCTGTAACATTATCCTGGCAAGATAGTGAAGGATCTAGGAGAGTGTTCATTGTACTTTGGACACTTGTCAAATCTTGGTGGCAACTATCTATAGAGTTTAAGGCAAAAGTGACAGCTTCCAGGAAGTAGGACAGGGAAACAAGGACTGAGGTAAGCACCCTGAAAAGGCACCAAAATCAATGAGACTAATGCACTGCAGTATATAGCAATCCTGTGAAAGGTGTCCTTATGATTCAGCTATGCATGGACTGGTCAGTGGCCAGAGCAGGGCTTTGAGTATGTTGTCTCTTTTTAGTGAGCTGTCTGGTCCAAGTAAATTCTCCAGCACATCTTAAGGTTGGGTTTCTGAATCTTGTAAAGGCAGTTAAAGTGCACCTAGGTTATGTGTGTGTGCAGGAGTGTTTATAGGTATAGCTGACCTTTTAGCTAATCTTTTGCGGAGCTAGTTGCAAGCTATTTCTACAGTGTTAAGTATGCATTTTAAAACTTTTTTAGAGCTTGTGACCTGTATGCTGTATGTAGTTTTTATTTAGTTTTCTCTGTTACAAATGCAGGTCCATTATTACTACCAGCAGTACACTATATCTAGGGATGATTTTCATAGCAGCACCCTATAAACTTCTGTTGTTTCCTCAGTGCAGGTAGAGAATGGGAGGTCAGGGCGAGTGACCCAGGTGCTGAAGCCTAAGCTGGCTGCAGGAGTATAGGTTCCAGCACTGTGGCTTGAGCTTGCACAACAAACAAGGGGGCAGATCTATCTCTGGTCTTCCGGGAGTACTAGGTAGAACTATTCTGGCTGAGATTGATGTTTTAGTCAGTTCGATCCCCAGGGGAGGGTTAGACCTCTGAACTGAATTATTTTGCATTGATGGCAGGTTTCCAAACAGGAGGAAGCAATAGCAGGAGAGCTTTGGCCAAAATAACTTTGTCCAAGGTAATCACAGCATATCTAGCCTGTTAGACTTTATTCTTTTTTTTTTTTTTTTTAATATTTATTTATTTATTTATATTTGTGTGTGTGTGTGTGGCCAGCTCAGCCCACCAGGGGGCGGGGCTGGCTGGCATGTGGTGCTGTGGGATTGAACCGTGGTCCCTGTGCTTTGCTTAGCTTAGCTTGTTCTAAGTAGGTGCTTTAGACCACTGAGCCATCTCACCAGCCCCTGTTAGACTTTATTCTAACAGAGCTACTTTCATCCATAACCATGGTGTACTCAACATTTGTAGTGGTCCACAGTTACTCAGGAGGTCCATTATAGCATGTGGCACCTGTACTGTTAAGTCTCAGTCTAAGGGCTTGAGAAAACTGATCTTGTCAGTTTTCTTCATCAGAAAGACAGTGACCTTTAGAGCACAGAGGCAAAAGGGGAGGCAACCCTTAGTGCCCAAAACCAAATACTTGCACAGGTCGGCCATTAAGCACTCCCACTGACTGACAGTGCATATGCATTATGTTTTTGTGAGCTCAGGGACCCAGATTGTATAGAAGCCAGCAGCTCCAAGAAATTTGTGACATTTTTTTCTTATGATCAGTTTTTGCCAGATACCGCAGCAGAGCTTTTGTACCTTTCCAGCAGGAAATTTGAGTATCATTAATCAGAAGTGGGGTTTTTTTTGTTTTTTGGGTTTTTTTTATTTTATTTTATTTTTTTTTATTTTAGGGGTCTACAGAGTGTTCAGGGTCTCACTACTAGATCAGACTCATAGTGATCCACCTGTTTACAGCTTCCCAAGAGCTGGGATTACAGGCATGAGCCACCAGTCTTAATTACCATTTCAGTGCACCCCAGGGGATGGGGCTGGCATGGCAGGCCTAGGGATTGATTGAACCCCAGGCCCTTGCACCTATTGGCAGGCGCTTTATTTTTTATTTTTTTTATTTTTTTTTTTGAACGTACAGATACTTTATTGCTCACCTTTCACACAAAGCACACCTCCAGCCATTTTCGTTCACAGCTTGACAATGTTTGTGTATACAAAAACCCAGCAAGAAGCATCATGTCACGGAGATTTCGGTAAAGGAGAATGTAAAACATCAGCTCAGCCAGGCTTTTGTTTTCTGCAGCAATAATGAAGGGCCTCCTGCACTAGGCAAAACTCTATCTTACTTTGTAGTGCATTTCTTCCATTAAAAAAAAATCGTCTCCTGCCTAAAGCAAACCCACTTGGATTTGCTGAGCCAGTGATGTTAACTCGTGCATAAAACAAATTTCAGTTTGCTATTTCTTCTAGCAGATTTCAAGTAAAAATAATGTTGAAGGAAGAACTTGTTTTGGATGGATGCAGGTCAGTTTGAGTTGCTATACTTAACTAAATGCCTATGTGTACTATAGGTTCACAACCTAGTTTGCTTTTAGTCTTATTTTGGCTGTGTTGAATTGGCAGGCGCTTTAATCTGCAGAAGTGTTTTTTCTAAGGAAACAAATTTTTTAACCCGAGAGGTTGATTCTAGGTCAGTTGCAAAGAGGGCCTGGCTGACAGGAGACCGTTGAAGGCAGAAGAAGGCATTATTTAGATCCAGGCAGGTGTACCAGCAGGCTGTCGGTGGCAGAAGAGTGAGGCAACACAGACACAGCAACTGATGGTTGGGAGATCTTGAACTGGCTTCACAAGCAGGAGAGGTATAGTTCAGCAGTTTCAGTCTATAGACAATTTGTGTTTTTTAAAGCCTCTTTTCTTTCTGGAGAACCATGACAGAGCTTGAAGGGACAGAGAAGCCATCCCAGAGCCAAATCTGTTGCAAGGGCCTCCCAGAAAGTAGTGGGAAAGGCCAGGGAGATGGCTCAGTGGAATAAGCGCTTCCCTGGAGAAAGTAGTAAGAGAGCTTTTAAGCCCTCATGGCAGTTAAGCAATAGTCTTTTAAAGAGTGTATTAGCTGGAAACTGCACAGTGTGAGTGA